GTTGGGCCTGGACCTGGCAGCCGCTGCCCCTCCTGGCTCACGTGCAGACCTCATCCCGCCTGTGATTCGGGTGCCCTGGGCCCCAACCATGACCTCAGGAGGTGGTTTGAGGGTTTTATTTTTACTCTTTAGCTCCTCCCAGACCACAGGAGGCTGCCTCTCGCTTCTTCCCTGTGGGGCCTCCACCCTCTCTCAGCTCCTCTGTGTTGGCTCCTGTTTTAGCCCTGGGCACCCCTGGGAGGGGCACAGAGTGAGGGGCCCGCCTGTGTGATGGTGGTTCCGGCCTGCAGTCAGTCCCCCCACAGCCTCTCGGAGCAGTGCTTTGCATGGGCACAGCCAGAGGAGAGGCTCCAGGGCTGGAGTGCCTGCCTTTTGGACTCAGGGCAGGCACTGCAGTCAGCTCTGCTCCACGCCTGTCGCTCTGCTGCTCCTTCTGCGGCACGGCCAGGCTTTTCCGGCCTGGGCATTTGTGCCCACACCATGGGCCAAGGAAGGAGCCAGGTGGTTCAAGTCCTGGGGGAAGATGTGAGGCTGGACGCACGGGGCGGACACAGTGCACACATAACGTGTGTGCCTCTCAAACCCTGCATGTGAATGGCTGTGCTCCCCGCCACCCAGGGGAGCACACAGGCTGGCGAGGGTGACAGAGGGACAAGGCATAGGGCAGAGGGAGGCCTCACTCCCCTGGCCTGGCCATGCCCACTGTACTTGCTGCAAGAATAGTGGAACCTGGGGGACAGGGAAGTAGAGAAGGTTCCTCTCTAGGACTGAGATTTGGAGAAAGCCCCAGAAGGGCTGAGGCTTCCTTGATAGCTTAGTTGGTAAAGAATCTGCCTGTAATGTAGGAGACCCTGATTTGATTCCTGGGTCAGAAAGATCCACTGGAGAAGGGATAGGCTACTCACTCCAGTATTCTTGGGCTTCCCTTGTGGCTCAGCTGGTAAAGAATCTGCCTGCAGGGCAGGAGACCTGGATTGGATCCCTGAGTTAGAAAGATCCCATGGAGAAGGGAAAGGCTACCCACTCCAGTATTCTGACCTGGAGAATTCCATGGATTGTATAGTCCATGGGGTCACAGAGTTGGACACAACTGAGCAACTTTCACTTTCCTGAAGGACTGTGGAGCTGCAGCCCCTAGGATGGAGTGAAACCGTCCAGACCTGGGACTTGAGGTAGCCTGAGGGTGGGGTTTAGAGGGTGACAGCCCCGCTGCCTGGTTGGGCACCCAGATGCCCTGTTGAATCTTCCTGGCACTGACCTCAGCCCCACAGAGCACTGCTGGGCCAGTGTTTGGATGAGGAGGCTGAGCTGTGGCATTGGGCCCCTCACTTGGGGGTCAGTTGAGCAGTAGGCCTGGAGCTAGAGTTAACCTCTGCAGAGACTTTGCCACTCACAGAGGTTGGAGTTCTCTGTGTGGGGTGTGGGGTAGCCTGTGTGTATTTTGAGGACCCCTTCTGACTGAGTAGGGAGGGAAGCACTGGAGGCCCCAGTGGGGTAGAACCAGGCCTGCAGCCCCCTCATTTCAGCGGTGGCAGCGACAGGACTGTCAGGACCTCTTGAGGCCAAGAGAAGGGGAGACAATACTTGGGCTGGTGGGGGCAGTTGTGCCAAGTCCTTAGGAGCCTCTTGGCAATGGCCAAGACCCAAGATCAGGGTGAAACGGGTCACTGGCATGAATCATGTATGTGCCATGTGGAGTGTAGGTTGACCCAGTGAATTTGGGAAAGTAGGACAGGGGTCACCCTGTGACCTGATACTGTACACCCTTGCCCTCGTGGGCTGACCTTGCCCTAGTGTAGATGGTCTGCAGTGTAGGAGAGGGAACTGATTCAGCCTGGCTTCCTGCTGAGTGAACCTGGCCTCCCTCTGGCGCCTCTGTGGGTGGAGGAAGCCCCAGAAGCTACCACAACCAAGGGCTTGCGACACCAAAGCTGTCACATGAACGGGGAAGGGGTGCATCACCCCATGGTTCTCTGGAACTCAGACCTGGGCTTCCCCATGAACCCTGCCAAGAGGAGCCTGTTCCCTTTTCCTTGTTGGTTTTGTTACTGTGTATTTACAGTTGAATTCTTATTTCTTAATTTTATGGAGCAGGTAGGACTGTATGTGGCTCAGCATACAGTTGAGTTCTCAGCTTCTGTTCACCCCACCCAACTCACCTCACCTACCCTGAGCCTGTCCCAGAGGCACCAACTTCACTACCTCTGCATGCTGGCCTCAGCGTCTGCCTCCTCCTAGTGTCATCATGGCAGTGTAAATGGCTTCAAAACTTATGCTGAACAAAGTTCATATAATTCCTTTGTCCAGCATTTTTGCCTTGTTTTGCTTTTACTTTTGCAAGTTTTTCTGTGTCACTGACTCAGCCCCAAACATGCTGACAGAAGTTGAAAACTCTCAGTCCAGTCCAGCTCCTTGAGTACCTTCTTCAGGTGGAGCCACCCTCCTGAGCCACGTCTGGGCTGCCCTGGGTCCTCAGTGGCACCAGTAAGGTCTCTCTGGGATACCCTTGGCCTTATAAGCTGGAGCCTCTGTTTCTGGAATGCTGCATGTTCCAGTTTTGTGGTTTATTTCCTTTTCTTCATGGAGCACATCCTATAGTAGCTTTCCAAGAGTAGGTGTCCGAGAGACAGTTGGAAGAATAAGAATTATGTTTTTAAACAATTAATAACTGATGTAGAGGTGATTCCTTCCCCTACAGAGTGCTAGGTTCTTCACAGGACTATCTCATTTCACAACAAATCTATAATGAGCTTTGTCTGATAAGGAAGGATCCTTAAATACACAGATGAACTTGCCCACAGTCACATGACTGAGAAGCCATGAATTAGCTCTCAGACTGTTTGACTCCAAAACTTATTTTTTTTTAAATTGTATCACAGAAAAAGCAAGAGAGTGCCAGAAAAACATCTACTCCTGCTTCATTGACTATGCTAAAGCCTTTGACTGTGTGGACCACAACAAACTATGGAAAATTCTTAAAGAGATGGGAATACCAGACCACATTACCTGTCTCCAGAGAAGCCTGTGTGCAGGTCAAGAAGCAACAGTTAGAATCAGACATGGAACAATGGATTGGTTCCAAATTGGGAAAGTAGTACATTAGGGCTGTATATTATCACCCTACTTATTTAGCTTATATGCAGAGTACATCATGCAAAATGCTGGGCTGGATGAAGCACAAGCTGGAATCAAGATTGCCGGGAGAAATATCAATAACCTCAGATATGCAGATGACACCACCCTTATGGCAGAAATCAAAGAAGAACTAAAGAGCCTCTTGATGAAAGTGAAAGAGGAGAGTGAAAAAGTTGACTTAAAACAACATTCAAAAAACTAAGATCATGGCATCTGGTCCCATTACTTCATAGCAAATAGATGGGGAAACAATGGAAACAGTGAAAGACTATTTTCTTGGGCTCCAAAATCACTGCAGATGGTGACTGCAGCCAAGATGCTTGCTCCTTGAAAGAAAAGCTATGACCAACCTAGACAGCATATTAAAAAGCAGAGACATTACTTTGCTGACAAAGTCAAAACTATGGTTTTTCCAGTAGTCATGTGTGGATGTGAGAGTTGGACTATAAAGAAAGTTAAGTGCTGAAGAATTGATGCTTTTGAAGTGTGGTGTTGGAGAAGACCCTTGAGTGTCCCTTGGACAGCAAGGAGATCCAGCCAGTCCATCCTAAAGGAAATCAGTCCTGAATATTCATTGGAAGGACTGATTTTGAAGCTGAAGCTCCAATACTTTGGCCACCTTATATGAAGAACTGACTCACTGGAAAAGACCCTCCTGCTGGGAAAGATTGAAGGCAGGAGGAGAAGGGGACGACAGAGGATGAGATGGTTGGATGGCATCACTGACTTGATAGACAGGAGTTTGAGCAAGCTCTGGGAGATGGTGAAAGACAGGGAAGACTGGCGTGCTGCAGTCCATGGGGTCTCAAAGAGTCGGACATGATTGAGTGACTGAACTACGATTTTTATAAAAATCACGTCAGTGCATGTCTACATATGTAAATAGTTTAATAGTTCAACAGGGCTGCTTAAGAGAACAGCAGTCTCTCTTCCTTTCCCCACACCACCTTTCCCAGAAGCACGTCACCCTTTTAGATGATTCTTTTGGTGTTTAATGTCATTTCTCTAACTTGGTGGGTTTTGGACTTTTTTGAGCAAAACTCAAATATATTTTATATATCACTACCTGGTACACAGTCACATCTGCAAAATTAGAAAAAAATACATAGCCCTCCTAAATGCAGTATGGATGCTCAAGCTGGATTTAGAAAAAGCAGAGGAACCAGAGATCAAATTGCCAACATCTGTTGGATCATCAAAAAAGCAAGAGAGTTCTAGAAAAACATCTACTTCTGCTTTATTGACTATGCCAAAGCTTTTGACTGTGTGAATCATAACAAACTGGAAAATTCTTAAAAGAGATGGGAATACCAGACCAACTGACATGCTCCTGAGAAATCTGTATGCAGGTCAAGAAGCAACAGTTAGAACTGGACATGGAACAACAGACTGATTCAAAATTGGGAAAGGAGTGTGTCAAGGCTGTATATTGTCACCCTGCTTATTTAACTTATATGCAGAGTACATCATGCAAAATGCTGGGCTGGATGAAGCACAAGCTGGAATCAAGATTGCCGGGAGAAATATCAATAACCTCAGATATGCAGATGACACCACCCTTATGGCAGAAATCAAAGAAGAACTAAAGAGCCTCTTGATAAAAGTGAAAGAGAAGAATGAAATGTTCCCTTAAAACTCAACATTCAGAAAATGAAGATCATGGCATCTGGTCCCATTACTTCATGGCAAATAGATGGGGAAACAATGGAAACAGTGACAGACTTTATTTTGGGGGGCCCCAAATCACTGCAGATGGTGACTGCAGCCATGAAATTAAAAGATGCTTGTTCCTTGGAAGAAAAGCTATGACCAACCTAGACAATATATTAAAAAGCAGAGACATTACTTTGCCAGCAAAGGTCCATCTAGTCAAAGCTATTTTTTTTTCCAGTAGTCATGTGTGGATGTGAGAGTTGCACTATAAAGAAAGCTGAGCGCTGAAGAATTGATGCTTTTGAAGTGTGGTGTTGAAGAAGACCCTTGAGAGTCCCTTGGACAGCAAGGAGATCCAACCAGTCCATCCTAAAGGAAATCAGTCCTGAATGTTCATTGGAAGGACTGATGCTAAAACTGAAACTCCAGTACTTTGGCCACCTGATATGAAGAACTGACTCACTGGAAAAGACCTTGATGCTGGGAAAGATTGAAGATGGGAGGAGAAGGGGATGACAGAGGATGAGATGGTTGGATGGCATCACTGACTCAATGGACATGAGTCTGAGTAAACTCCGGGAGTTGGTGATGGACAGGGAGGCCTGGGTATTGCAGTCCATGGGGTCACAAAGAGTCTGACATGACCATGTGACTGAACTGAAGCACAGTAATCTCAGACATTTTCTATTGTAGTCAACTTCATTAAGAAATGGTGTTTGTGAGCCACTAAATTGAATTCACACTTGCTCGTGGGGCCTAACTTTCACTCTGGAAAATACAGCACTAAACATGCTTGTCTCTCTGGTTCGTTTCCTTGTAGGTGTCCTCTGCTCTCCCCTCCCACCCCTCCTCTGATTTATGAGTTGGGGGCCATGAGTGTGTTCATGTCCCTGTAACCATAAAAAGGAGACACTCACTGCTCTTCCTTCCCTGTTTTTCTTTTCCCTGGAAGCATTAATTGTCTTATTTTTATTCTTTTTGGTTGCTTTGGTTTTCCGTGCTCTCATCACAATGTCAACACCAAGTTCTCAGCCCACCTCTCAGAGCAGCTGAGCTTCACTCACCTTGAGGTGAAGTCTCTCCTGGACCACTCATCTGTCCAGCTGGCTGCTTGCCCATCACCTCTGGGCCCAGCTTTCACCTTGGGGATTCTCTCAAACTCTCTGCTCCCCTGACCCCTCGTGTTCACTTACATTTTTAAATTCTTTTTCCTTCCTTCACTTTGAAAGAGCATATCCTTCATGGTGGGTGGTAGTTTAGTCGCTAAGTTGTGTCCAAGTCTTATGACCCCATGGACTGTAGCCCACCAGGCTTCTCTGTCCATGGGATTCTCCAGGCAAGCATGCTGGAGTGGGTTGCCATTTCCTTCTCCAGGGGATCTTCCCAATCCAGGAATTGAACCTGGGTCTCCTGCACTGCAGGCAAATTCTTTACCAACTGAGCTATGAGGGAAGGCCACATCTCCATAGTTTCCTGCAGAAAAAAACACGGGAGAAATTCTGAAACTTTGTAAATCTGTACATGACTTTATTGGATCCTATTTCTTGGTTGACAGTTTGGCTGGATATAGAATTCTAGGCTGGAAATTATTTCCTGCCAACCTCTGCAGACGTCATTCTCTCCTATTCCCTTTCCCAGTGTTGCTGTTGAGAAAACTGCACCCGTTTTGGCTCCAGAGCCTCTGTGACTTTTTCAAAACTCCTCTTTCCTCACTGGTGTGAACTCTCCCATGATCTGTGCTTTGTTGTGGGTCTGTGCCTGCCCCATGGGAGCCTAATTCTGTCTGGAAACGCCTAACCCTCCTTCAGTTCTAGGACATTTTCTAGAACCATTTTGTCATCACTTCCTTCCCTCTATGTCTTTTCTTCTGAAACTCCTGTTTTTTGGGTCACTTTCTATATTCTATCTCATTGGCACCCTCAACATTTTCTTCTAACACATGTAATGAATTTTTTTGTTTCTGTTACTTTGTTCTTCATTTCTAAGACCCCTTTGTTTCCTGTGTGTCTGTTTTGTGGGTGTGGTCAGGTCAGGTCTGTGAAGATACTGATGTTGTGGATTTCCTCCATCCCCCTCCCCCACCAAGTCCCATTTCCACTTCTTCCCAGTTCATCCCTCTGTCTGTGGACTGTAGCCTCTGCTTCCCATGATAGTGGGCTTCCTCTGGTGGCACTTGGCTGTGTGCTTATGTTTGAGAGTGGGGTCTACAAACTGAGACCCCCAGCAGTGGCTCTTAAGTGCCCTCCACCCCACTTCTGGTGGAAGCCAGGACTCTGGGGACTATGGCTGATTCCAGGAAGGTTGCCAACTTCAGCAAATAAAAATACATGTCTCCCAGTTAGATCTGAATATCAGATATACAACAAATTTCTCGGTATAAGTATGTCCCGTGTGGTATTTACCTGGCAGCCCTAACGCCAGACCTGTGGCAGGAAATTCATGAGAGCCCACCATGTCTCTTCATGGCAGAGGACATGGGAGGAGTGGGGAAGGCGCAAAGGGCTTTGCTGGCCAAAGATGAACCATAGGAGGGCAGTAGCCACACTGGACTGAAGCATATGACGTGTTGAAGCCCGTTCTCTGGGCAGCCATGGAGGACGAGGCCCAAGCCCCAGGGTATCCAGATGCCTGACTGGAGGCATTCTCTGGGTGTTTTAGTGTAACTCCCTATCTTCCTGGAAACCAAAGCAGATTAAAAAGCGAAAAGAAAAAAAAGCTAGAGAATGTGAGAATTCCAGAAAGAAAAGAGAAACTGAATTTCTAACAACGGCTTAGAGCTTTCCAGGTGGCTCAGTGGTAAAGAATCTGTGTGCCAAGCAGGAGATGTGAGTTTGATCCCTGGGTCGGAAAGAGTCCCTAGAGAAGGAAATGGCAACCCACTCCAGTTTTTTTGCTGGGAAATCTCATGGACAGAGGAGCCAGGTGGTCTATAATCCATGGGGTCGCAGGGTTGGATGCAACCTAGCTACTGAAGAGCAAACAGCAATGCCTTAGAAGTGTTCACCTTTTAAAAGAAAGTCATTTTCTTGGAGAATCCACAGTTTAAAAAAAACAAAACACCTGAGACAGTGGTTGATCACTGGATAAGAAGCAGAGAGATGTGAATTCTGGCAGAGAGCAAATATTGCCAAAGAGCAAATATTGATGAGGACTTCATGGCATAGAAATATTGATTTAATATTGTTTAAATGTCAGGGTGGAAAAATGTGGAGTTTAACAACCTATATTATAAAAAGTTTAGGTAGTGTTTTTAATCAGGATGAATCCTTGAACAAATTAGACAGTTATTGTTGTTTAGTGGCTAAGTTGTGTCCGACTCTTTGCGACTCCATGGACCATAGTCCACCTGGCTCCTCTGTCCATGGGATTTTCCAGGCAAGAATACTGGAGTGGATTGCCATTTCCTTCTCCAAGGGATCATCTGGACCAGGGACTGAACCTGTGTCTCCTTCATTGGCAGGCAGATTCTTTACTACTGAGCCACCAGGAAAAGCCCCAAATTAGACTGATTCCATAATTTTGACTTAAACAACTATATATCTTTCTCCTGATACATAACACTGAAAACATAATGTAACATTATGGAAGAATTAGGTTTATTTACATATGCAAAGCTTAATTAAACTTTCCTACATTTCTTAGTCTGCTTTTATGGGTCAGGTAAGTTATTTTTTTCCAAGAACTGTTTAAGATCATAAAAATGTAAACATATGTGTTTCAGTTCAGTTCACTCGCTCAGTCGTGTCTCTTTGTGACCCCATGGACTGCAGCATGCCAAGCTTCTCTATCCAGCCCCAACTGATTTCCCTTAGGATGGACTGGTTGGATCTCCTTGCAGTCCAAGGGACTCTCAAGAGCCTTCTCCAGCACCATAGTTCAAAAGCATCAATTCTTTGGCACTCAACTTTCTTTATAGTCCAACTCTCACATCCACACATGACTACTGGAAAAACCATAGCTTTGACTGGATGGACCTTTGTCGGCAAAGTAATGCCTCTGCTTTCTAATATACTGCCTATATTGGTTGGTCATAGCTTTTCTTTTAAGGAGCAAGCATCTTTTAATTTCATGGCTGCAGTCACCATCTGCAGTGATTTTGGAGCCCAAGAAAATAGTCTTTCACTGTTTCCATTGTTTACCCATCTATTTGCCATGAAGTGATGGGACCAGATGCCATGATCTTAGTTTTTTGAATGTTGTTTTAAGTCAACTTTTTCACTTTCCTCTTTCACTTTTATCAAGAGGCTCTTTAGTTCTTCACTTTCTGCTATGAGGGTGGTGTCATTTGCATATCTGAGGTTATTGATATTTCTCCTGGCAATCTTGATTCCAGCTTGTGCTTCATCCAGCCTGGCCTTTTGCATGATGTACTCTGCATATAAGTTAAATAAGTAGGGTGACGATATACAGCCTTGATGTACTCCTTTCCCAATTTTGAACCAGTTCATTGTTCCGTGTCTGGTTCAAACTGTTGTTTCTTGACCTGCATACAGATTTCTCAGGAGGCAGATAAGGTGGTCTGGTATTGTGTTTAACTATATTTGATTAAATTAACTGATCTTGGGCTTCCCTGGTGGCCCAGTGGTTAAGAGTCCACCATACAATGCAAGGGTCACAAGTTCAGTCCCTGTTCCAGGAAGATCCTACATGCCACAGGGCAGCTGAACCCACATGCCACACCTACTGAGCCCACTCGCCCTAGAACCTGTGCTCCACAACAGGAGAAGCCACCACAATGAGAAACTTGCATTCTGACTAGAGAGTAGCCCTCACTTGCCACAACTAGAGAAAGCACACGGAAGGGAACAAAGACCCAGCACAGTCAACAATAAATAAATAAATATTTTTTAAAAAGAAAAACAATGAGGTCCATATACCCCCTTCCCCTTAAAAAGAAAAAGAAAAACAGATGATCTCTTTTACTTATTATTTTTGATTGCACTGAGTCTTCGGTGCTTTGTGTGGACTTTCTGCAGGTGTGGCGAGCAGGGACTACTCTTTGTTGCGGTGTTGGGGCTTCCCATTTCGGTGGCTTCTCTTGCTGCTGAGAATAGGTTCTGGGCACCCAGGCTTTAGTTGTTGTGGCTTACAGGCCCTAGAGTTCTCGGGCTGCAGTAGTTGCAGCACGTGGGTTCTGTATTTGTGGCTGGGGGCTCTAGAACACAGGCACAGTAATTGTGCCACATGGGCTTCGCTGCTCCACCACATGTGGAATCTTCCTTAGTCCAGGGGTCAAATCCATGTCCCCTGATTTGGCAGGTGGATTCTTGTCCACTCCACCACCAGAGAAGTCCGAGCTGATCTCGTTTATAAAGGATTTGTTCAGGTAAACCTGAGCCATGCTCTGAACTACTTGCGTTTCGTTGTGCTACCTGCCTCTCACCTCTGGTACATGGTTACTACGGATGTCAGAACCCCTCCCTGTACACAAACCCCTCGGCCTTGTGGTCCTGCGTTGGTCCCCCCACCAAAGCCAGGAGCTGTCTCCCTCCCCAGGAATCTGGGCTGTGACCTGCTTTGACCAGTCAGAAGTGGCAGATACTTTTGAGCTTTGGCCTTAAGGCTCCCAGCAGCTTCTGTCAGGAAGGAAGCCTGGTTTGGACTGCTGAGTGACAAGGGG